TATCTCCTTTACTGTTACAGTACACAAAAGTATTGTCTTTTTAAGGTTTAACTTAAAAAATAAGCTTTGGCCTTTAAAAGATCATTCTTATATTTTTAATATTTTATTTATATGGCTAGTTTGTTCTACTTAGGTAGAATAATCATTCAGTAACCTGGTAAACTAAGCACTGTCAGATGGAAAGTTTACTGATCTTTGTAAAACAAACAGAAATTGACCAGTCACGAATATTTTGTTTTGCCTCACCTCTCAGATTAAATATGACCAACAGTGTATTCGGTTCAAATACAGTGTTGGTCAGTGCAAGAAGGATTATGGTGGGGTGGGGGTGGGGGTGGCACACGCCTGCAATCCCAGAACTCTGAAGCTGAGGCAGGAGGATTGCCATGAGCTGGAGGCCAGCCTGGGCTACATAGTGAGTTCAGGGCCAGTCTGAACTACATAGCAAAACCCTGTCTAAAAACAAAACAACAACAAAAAAATCCCTGAACAAACAAAAAATGATTATGTAAAAGGACACAAGGTAGTCATTTTGGAAGAACAGTTTTGTTATTTTAGTGATTAGTGCTTAGGTCTTGTGGGTATGACTCTCTTGGCAGAATTCTCATTATGTAATAAATGCTTTCCATTGGTGAAATTAGATTTTACTAGGGACTAAATTCAGAATGTGCTCAGTAATGGGGCAGTTGGCCCGAAGATGGGCATGGTCACAGAATTCTACCCTGAATGAGATGGAAGACCAAGGGGAAAGGGCTACCAGTGGGTTTTCCAGTGGATTTCAGAGGGAAGCCCTCCCTGTTTGATATTATTACTCAAGCTATCTGGTTCAAATTCTAAATATTGATGTACTTTCTGAAACCTAAGCATTGAGGTCATAGTCTTGAACTTGCTGATGTAGAGATGTTTAAAATATTTGATAAAATAAATCTCTTATATCTTGCCTTGATTTTTACTTTTAGAATGGAGGGTTAGGGCATGGGGCACAGGAGAGGGTAGAGGAGTTGAATAATAGTAAATTTCTGTGTTGTAGTCCATAGTCCCCAGAGGAAGGTAGCAACTTAATTAGGTTTGGAAGAGAGGGAACTGAGGTTTATGTGAATCCTTTCCATAAGGAGTGTTATGGCGTGTGTCTAAATGTCCCCCCCCGCAAAGCCTCATAGGTGTCCATAGGTGGGGCTTTCTCAGAAGTGGCTGGATCCAGTGTATGATGCTGGAAATGATTCATGGTGTAATGCTAGGCTCAGAGGTACTAGGATGAAGGATTGGAGTACTACCCACCCTAAGTAATCTGGATAAGATACAGAAAGATGCTCTTAAGTTCCCTTGCTTGCTTGGTTTTGCTATTTTCTGCATACAGTGAACTCTTTCTGCATTGTGGCACCCCTCTGCCACGTGCCACTCTGCCTTGGAACCAGCCCGTTATGGACTGAAACCTTTACAAACTGAGCTAAGTAACCCCCCTTTAACTTTGGTGTCAGTATTTTGTCTCAGCAATGAGAAAAAAGTGACTAAAACAAGGGATGATACTTAGACTGAGTTTTGAAGGATGACTGGGCATCTAGGCAGGGAGAAAAGATTTTAGGTGGAGATATCTGTATCTATAAAGGCATAGAGATCCTGAAAAGTAGAAGTGTAGGCAGTTTGGTGTGGCTGGTGCTTTGGCACAGGGTAGAGCAGGGTTTAGACCAGCATGCTGTATTTTATAGTGATATAGTATGATACATTGTGATGTAATATGATAATCAGATTTATGAACTTCGGCAGGATCAATTTCAAAGCCTGTGGGAAGCAGGACAGGACAAGACAGGTGAATCACTTAGCAGTTTCAGTAGTTCAGATCCAGGATGAGAGAATGGACTAGGAAAGTTCTAGTTGGGATGAAAGATACTCAGGAGGTGAATTGACAGGATTTAGGAGGTACTGGTGAGGAGCAGAAAAGACAAAAGATGTCAAGGCCTTTGGATGGATAGAATTACACAACTGAGAGAACAGGTTTGGAGAAGGAGAGTTCGGTTTGGGATCAAGTGCTCATCGGACATAGGAGAGGTAACTGCTAAGTCTGTTTAGAGTTGTCCACCCGGCCACTGGTGTGTAGGTGCTAATGAGTTATTAAAGGTAGGGTTTTAATCTTATTCATTTTTCTGTCACAGCGCTTCTTTAAGAGAGTGTATAGAGTGAGGCTGAGTAGATTGTATTCCTTATAAGACATGATCTTGAATCTTGAGGAAGTAATTGCTCTCTTTAGACTTGTGTTTCCCTGTCTGTAAAGCGAGGGAATAACTAGATCAGTGGGGTTCTTGTTCCAAAGTTTTGTAACAGTCTCTTATGTTGGACTCAGTTATAAGGTGTGGCAGGTAATTTTTAATAATAATCAAGAAGCTGATATATGCTTGCCTTTAAAATGAGAGTTAAAGCCAGGCATTGAGTTGGTGCATGATTGTTATCCTGTTACTCTTGGAGTTGCAAGTTTGAGCCCAGCATGGGCAACTTAGTAATTTAGCAGAGGCTTGCCTCAAAAAATAAGAAAGGGGCTCAGGATGTGGCTCAGTACAAAGGCCCTGAGTACAATTCCCAGTACAGAAAAAAGAGAAATGTTGATTTGCCATTCCTTATTCATTGCCCTGAATTGTTTTCTTGAATGTGAGAGCGAGAAGAGAGTGGAGTTATAATTAGTGTGCTGGAACTTCATTAACTAGCTATACCAGTGGGAGCGTCACATAGCAGTTCTGGACAAAAGTCTTTGAGAATCACCATAGTAAATGGTAGGACTTAAAACTGAAAAGTTATGTTTTTATATTGAGGAATTATTCTATTTTTTTATTTTTTTATTTTTTGAAACTTCAGGAACTCTACTTTAAGAAACTCTCAAAACGAAAAAATCAAGTCATGGAGAAGAATGGGAATAACCGAAAACTTCGGGTTTGTGTTGCTACTTGCAACCGTGCTGATTATTCTAAACTTGCCCCAATCATGTTTGGCATTAAAACGGAACCTGAGTTCTTTGAACTTGATGTGGTGGTGCTTGGCTCTCACCTAATAGATGACTATGGGTAAGACAAAAATGTTTTCTTATTCTTTGCAGGAGTGTACTGAAGAGAGCTTGGATTTTGTAAACATATGGACCTAGCTTCAAATCTGTTCTACCACTTAGTTTTTTTTTGGTACCAGGGATTAAACTCAGGACCTTGTACTTGCAAGGCAGGTGCGTTACTAAATCCTTGGCCCCACTTAGTAGATTTTATGTGGTCTTGGAAAAGTTGTCAAGAAGAGCTACATTGTAAGTTATTGTGAGGAACAGAGATAGTTAAAATATCCATCACAGTGATACTACTTAGTAAATATTCATAAATGATAATTATAAAAACTAGTGCTATTTGTTATTACATTCAGGAAAAATGCCACTTATAAATATATATTTTTATGACTATAACAATATGATTCCATGTAATATGTTTGTAAGGTGTTTTTTTTTGTTGTTGTTATTGTTCTTTTGTTAGAGATTGAACCCTAAGCACATCTTCTACTGCTTAGCCACCACCCCCAAGTCTGTTTTACAAGTTCGAATGGCCATTCTTCAAAACTGGTTTATAGGTCAAAAGAATATAAACTAGTATTATGGAACAAGATTTTAAAATTCTGATCAGTTTTTGAGGTAAAGTAGAAATGTTACAGACACCTTTGATAACTACTTTTGTAACATTAAATTTTTTGTGTGTTTTTGAGATAGGGTCTCACTATGCAGCTCAGGCTGCCTTGAACTCATTATGTAGTCTAGGCTGGTCTCAAACTCATGGTTCATCCTGCCTTAGCCTCTCCAGTGCTGGGATTAAAGGCATGTGCTTCCACCCCCAGTTACAACATTAAGTTTGTAGTTTACATTTGGAAAAGGAAGGTTAAGTAATCTTGATGGGAGCAAAATATATAACTCAGAAATGAACATTCTTTTTTTTTTTTGGTACCGGGAAGCAAAGTTGGGTCCTTGTGCTTATGAGGCAGGTGGCAGAACCATTGAGCTAAATCCCTGGCCCTGAACGTTCTTATTTTTTTATAATTTTCATTTTGAGACAGGGCCTTCTTATGTACTTTAGGCTGGCCTTGAATGCACTGTGTAGCCCAGGCTGGCCTTGAACTCACAATGATCTTCTTACTTCAGCTTCTGGAGTGCTACTATGCCCAAATAATTTTGCTTTTCATAATAAAGAGGAATTTAGTGCACCCTTGTGGCATTAAGATGTTCATGCAGTCTCCAAAGATGTTAAATGGATTATTATATAGGAAAGTTTATGTTAAAATTGTTTATTCAGACTATTCTTTATAACCAAGCTGGGCATGGTGACAAAGGCCTGTATTTCTGGCACTTGAAGACAGAGGATCACCAGTTCAAGGCCAGATGGATTATATAGCAAGACCCTGTCTCTGAATATGTACATAAAAGAGAACAACAGTAAAACAAATAAAAAACTTGCCTTCAGAAACCAATTTGAGGGCCGGGGATTTAGCTCAGTGGTTCTGCTGCCTGCCTTGCAAGCACAAGGTCCCAAGTTTGATCCCGGGTACCAAAAAAAAAAAAAATAATAATAATAATAATTAAGGGCTGGGCATGGTATTGCACGCCTATAATCCCAGCACTTAAGAGGCTAAGACAGGAGGATGACTTGGAGTTCAAGGCCAGCCTGAATTACTGAGTGAGACCCTGACTCAAAAAACAAAACAACAACAACCCAATTTGACAATTTGCTCTCAGACAGTATTTAAAAAGTAGAGAAGAAAGTTATGGCTAACTCAGGGATTCATAGATTTTTTTAAAATGTAAAATGAATTCTGAATGAATGTAAAATGAATCCATGTGGGTGATAACATAAGACAGAAGAGAAATTTTAGCTGGAACCAGATGTAAAAGTCTGACTCTTCTCTAATGAAACTTTGGTAGGAAGACTGGTGGGAGAGAGATTCTCAGGAAAACTGTAGTAGATTTCTTAATCTCCTATCATAGTAATCAAGGATGGAAAGGTAGTATTTGTCTAGAGAGACTAATGAATAGCAAATTTTACTGGTGCTTAATGAAAATGTATATTTCAAATATTTTCTGACTTGAGATTGGTTGCTTCTTAGGAGAGGAATTGAATGACTAGGAGACGAAAGTAGAAGACTTCTTTTTACTATATAACCTTTTTATTTCTTATTTATTTTTTTGAGACAGGATCTCACTAGTAGTTCAGGCTGGCTTTGAACTCACTATATAGTCCAGGCTAGCCTCAAACTCAGTGATCCTCCTTCCTCAGCCTCCTGAGTGCTGGGATTACAGGAGTGTGCCACCATGCCTGGCCCCCTTTTGAATTTTAAACCATATGAATTTATTGTTTTTTTTTTCTTTTTAGAAGGGGTCTTGCTATGTTGTCTGGGCTGGCCATGGACTCCAGGGCTCAAATGATCTTCCTGCCTTGGTCTCCTGAGTAGTTGGGATAGGCATGTGCCACTGCACAGAGCTGGTATTATTTATTTAAAAATGATACTAAAGCAACAGAAAAAGTGAGCTACCTTCTGTTACAATTACAGACAATCCCAGATTTATAATTATTCACCTTGCAGTTTTTTAATTTTATGATGGTTGAGTCATATGTGATATACATTCATCAGAATTTCACATTCGGAATGTATCTCACATTTTTGAATTGTCTTTCTCCTGGGCTAGTAATATGTAGTACCATACTTGTTCAGACTGCTGGGCAGCAAGAGCAAGCCTCAGTTCCTAGTTAATCATGAGATCAAGAGAATAAACACTTGGGTTGTGATCCTAGCACTCTGGGAGGCTGTGGCAAGAGGATCTCAAGTTTGAGCCCAGCCTGGGTAGCTTAGTGATGCAGTGAGACTGTCTCAAAATAAAAAATGTTAAAAGGAGTGGGGATGTAGCTCAATACATATGCCCTGGGTTCAATCCTCACTGTGCCCCCTCAACCAAAAAAGAAAGGATAAACAACTGCTATTCTTTTTGTGTGTGTATGTGTGTGTGTGTGTGGTACCAGGGATCATCAGTCACGTTTGCCAGGCAGGCATGGTGTCACTGAGCTACGTCCCCAGCCCTGATATTCTATAATGTACTGTGTTTTAAAATTACAATGTTTGGTATCTTAGGTGCATTAAATGCATTTTCAACCTGTGCTATTTTCATTTTACAATGGGGTTATCAGGACATCCCATAATAAATTGAGGGGAATTCATACTTGGACTTTTTAACTAGCATTCTTATACTTTTAAGAATTGAGTTAAAAAGTAACAACAGCATACTTGGAAATTCACTTCTTCATTTTTTTCATTTAACAAATAGTTATTATGAAATTAGCATGTGCCAAGTGGCAAATAAGATAGAAACAAAGTCCTTGTTTTCTTAGAACTTATATTCTGATGGGGGAGATAGATGATATACATAGAAGTCAAAACAAAAAAGAAAAGAAAAAGTAATAAAGTGGTAAAGGAGATAAAATGATAAAGGAAAAATTGAAATAAGAAATAAATTTATAGTTGGGTGTGGTGCTACATGCCTGTAGTCCCAGCACTTGGGAGGCTGAGGCAGGAGGATCACTTTGAGTTCGAGACCAGCCTGGGCTACGTAGTGAGTTCCAGGTCAGTCTCAACTACATAGTGAGACCCTGTCTCAAAAAATCAAAATAAATAAATAAATGAATAAATACATTTTATGATTTGAAGTGCTTTCATTTGTAGGGGAAAATTAGGTATAACTGAACAAAATATTCAAATTATAAACAAATTTTTTAAGAAAAAGCTCAGGCTCTAGTAATGGCAGAGCAGCTTATATCTGACTCATTCTACTGCTATCCCTTATAAACTCTGGAGAAGATTTTAAAAAATACTAAGAGAGGCTGGGCATGGTAGCACATACCTGTAATCCAGCACTCGAGAGGCTGAGGCAGGAGCATTGCCGCAAGTTTGAGGCCAGCTGGGGCAACACAGTGAGTTCAAGCCCAGGCTGTACTTACATAGTGAGATCTTGTCTCAAAAACAAACAGTCCCTCCCCCCACTTAACTGGAAAGCAATTAGTATTAGGCAGAAACTGAAGGAGATTCAATCTACATAAAAAAAGGAGCTGTCTTGGGCCAGGGATTTTGCTCAGTGGCACTGTACCTGCCTTGCAAGTGCAAGGTCCTGAGTTTGATCCCTGGTACCCCCCAAACTAGGAGCTGTCTTATAGTTAGGAAGATACATGTTTAATCCTTCATTAGAGTGTCCACATGATATAGGTTGACTAGAACTCAAGCAAAAAAGCCACTGTTGTTTAGGCTTAGGTACTAGAAAATGGAACTTGGGAGGTTAGAACATCTGGAAATTGAGGGAAGAAATTCCAGAAATAAAGGATCAGAGGGGAAGCCCCAGAATCTGTATATTAATTATTTTGCAATTCTTGGTTGACCACTGAATAGCATATAATGGGACTCCAAGAAACTTTTCAGGAAACAATAGCTGGAGGCTGAAGAAACTGATACAGTTTTGTCTGTTGTCCATTTCAGTAGAGGCAGTTTGGAGTTTGAATCCTACCAAGTTAGAGGGCCTTCATAAACCCCCCCAGGCTTTTCATTGGAACCCCAGAAAGACTGCACCTTAAGCGTATAAATTGTATCCATTTGGCTCTTTAGGAGGAAAACTGAACCAGATTCATCTTACTAATGCTTCAAACTAAGCTTCTACAAATTGTACATCCACTAATTTTCTTCCTGCTCAAATGAAAAATCAAGTCTTAAAGATAACAGAACCTGGAGGCTCTATAGTATTTCAATCACGATGTTCAGTATATAATCCCAAATTGCTAGGTATGTGAAGAAACCAGAAAATGACATCAAGAGAAAAAGTAGTCAATAGAAACAGACCTAGTGATGCTCAGATGTAATTACATTCTCAACAAGCAGCTTGAGACAGGGAAATATAAAAGAAAATCTGTTAATTTTAAGAAAAGTACTGAAAAGACAGGAAAAAAAATGATAATCCAAATGACATAAATACCAAAGAGAAGACAGGGTCAGTGAACTTGAAGACAGA